TATGGTTCGCTGGTATTTAGTTTGAATCACGTCGACGTAATACCCTTAGCTTGGATCTCATTCTTTTCACCACATTTAATTGTTAGCTGTGTTGTGATACTGTTCAATGCCATGATGCAGACTCTGGCGTTGTATTTTAGAGCTTTCAATAAGGTAAATATTACGAAAACAAATTCACAAACAAATCTAATAATAAATAAAAAATCGAAAGTTCTAACAAATATCCTTAAGAACATATTTTAAAAAAATCCACGACTTGTTGTAGTCCTTAAAAATGTTTTTAAAAAAAATCCACGACTTGTCGTAGTCCCTAAAATATTTTTAAAAAATCCAAACCTTGTTTTGGTCCTTAAAAATATTTTTAAAAAATCCAAGCCTTGTGTTAACCCTTAAAACTATTTTTAAAAAATCCAAGCCTTGTGTTAACCCTTAAAAATGTTTTTAACAAATACACGCCTTGTGTTGGTCCTTAAAAAATCCACGCCTTGTATTGGTGCTTAAAAAAATCACTCCTTGTGTTGGTCCTTAAAAAATCCACGCCTTGTATTGGTCCTTAAAAAATCCACGCCTTGTGTTGGTCCTTAAAAAATCCACGCCTTGTATTGGTCTTTAAAAAATTCACGCCTTGTGTTGGTTCTTAAAAAAATACACGCCTTGTGTTGGTCCTAAAAAATTCACGCCTTGTGTTGGTCCTTAAAAAATCCACTCCTTGTGTTGGTCCTTAAGAAATCCACGCCTTGTGTTGGTCCTTAAGAAATCCACTCCTTGTGTTGGTCCTTAAGAAATCCACGCCTTGTGTTGGTCCTTAAAAAATCCACTTCTTGTGTTGGTCCTTAAAAAATCCACGCCTTGTGTTGTTCCTTAAGAAATCCACTCCTTGTGTTGGTCCTTAAAAAATCCACGCCTTGTGTTGGTCCTTAAGAAATCCACGGCTTGTGTTGGTCCTTAAGAAATCCACGCCTTGTGTTGGTCTTTAAAAAATCCACGCCTTGCGTTGGTCCTCCGTGTTGGTCATCAAAAATCCACGCCTTGTGTTAGTCCTTAAGAAATCCACGGCTTGTGTTGGTATTTAAAAAAACCACGCCTTATGTTGGTCCTCAAAAAAAAAAACAACGTCTTGTGATGATCCTCCACGCCTGTATTTTTAAGGACCAACACAAGGCGTGGTTTTTTGGAGGACCATCACAAGACGTTGTTTTTTTTTTTGAGGACCAACATAAGGCGTGGTTTTTTTAAATACCAACACAAGCCTTGGATTTCTTAAAACAGTACTCGAAAAATTATTTTAAAAAAATCCTCGCCTATAATATCCTTGTAAAATAATTTTCAAAAGTCCACCCTGAATAATGTCGCTCTTATTATTCTGTTTGTCCTGCTGACCTATATTCCATTTTTCATTTTATGAGGAAACAATAAATATTTTAATGAAAAGCGACTTCCGTACTTCGCTTAATAAAAATAAATACAAATACCACATTTCTTACCCTGCAATTAAACTAAAGCGAAATTAAATATTGACCCACCAATAACACTTTGCGTACCCAATATGACTGTCAATATACATGTATGTACCTCGGCAAGAGGACCTCAAAACAAAAACACATAAATAAAAAATGTCATAAACGATATTAGCAACAAAAACATTAACAACAGTGTATTCAATTAATTAATTAAGCGTTGGCAGTGAACTAGTGATACCATCATCACCATAAGTCATGACCATACGAATAACAATAACCGGAATAAACTATGGATCCGGAAAGAAACCATTTAGTTGAACTTGAAAACTTTTCCGTGTAATAAGAACCCGTTCGGCAATGTCATTCATTCCACAGTCTCTTCGAATTTTTCTACACGATTTGCATCGGCCGGGAGATGTCTACGGTTGTTATCGTTTAATGTTCCTGCTCGGCCTAATTGCTGGAATTATCCCATTCGAATTTCACTCCCATCCTAGGAGACATTTAAAAAATACTATGCTTGGATATGGAAATGCTTTGTTGCGTATAATATTCTATATCCTTGTTTTTGGGTACATTAGGGGTCATGAACAATCTCTGTTGAGCCATTTCTTCGAAACCGAAGTATCGCGTCTAACAGACAACTTGCAGAAATACAATGGCATGTCCTGTGTCCTCGCAATATTGTTTTATTGTTTGGTGCGAAGTAAATATTTGATACACCTTGTGGAACAATTCGAATGGATTGAATTGAGATTTTCACGTTTGAGTGTTCGATTTATGCAGAAGAATTGTGCTGCTTGGATAAATTTGAGAATTGTTGTGATGTTGCTCGCTAATATTGGTTTTATTTTGTATGGTTCATTGGGTGTATTTATGCGGAATGGTGTCTCGATATCTCTGATGACCACAATTGCGTTTTATTCACCTATTTTGGTGGTTAGTTGTGTGGTTGTCATATTCAATTCGATATTGGAGAAATTAAATACTTATTTGAAGGTTAATAATAAGGTAATGAAAATATGAGTCTGTCACATTTGTATTAAAATAAACCAAGCTCTAAAATATTCTAAAAATATTCTTAAAATAAACCACGCCTCTTTGAAGGGTCTAAAAATATTCTTAAAATAAACCACGCCTCTTTGATGGGTCTAAAAATATTCTTAAAATAAACCACGCCTCTTTGAAGGGTCTAAAAATATTCTTAAAATAAACCACGCCTCTTTGATGGGTCTAAAAATATTCTTAAAATAAACCACGCCTCTTTGAAGGGTCTAAAAATATTCTTAAAATAAACCACGCCTCTTTGATGGGTCTAAAAATATTCTTAAAATAAACCACGCCTCTTTGAAGGGTCTAAAAATATTCTTAAAATAAACCACGCCTCTTTGAAGGGTCTAAAAATATTCTTAAAATAAACCACGCCTCTTTGAAGGGTCTAAAAATATTCTTAAAATAAACCACGCCTCTTTGATGGGTCTAAAAATATTCTTAAAATAAACCACGCCTCTTTGATGGGTCTAAAAATATTCTTAAAATAAACCACGCCTCTTTGATGGGTCTAAAAATATTCTTAAAATAAACCACGCCTCTTTGATGGGTCTAAAAATATTCTTAAAATAAACCACGCCTCTTTGATGGGTCTAAAAATATTCTTAAAATAAACCACGCCTCTTTGATGGGTCTAAAAATATTCTTAAAATAAACCACGCCTCTTTGATGGGTCTAAAAATATTCTTAAAATAAACCACGCCTCTTTGATGGGTCTAAAAATATTCTTAAAATAAACCACGCCTCTTTGATGGGTCTAAAAATATTCTTAAAATAAACCACGCCTCTTTGAAGGGTCTACAAATAGTCTTTAAATAAACCACGCCTATTTGAAGGGTCTAAAAATAGTCTTAAAATAAACCACGCCTCTTTGATGGGTCTAAAAATATTCTTAAAATAAACCACGCCTCTTTGATGGGTCTAAAAATATTCTTAAAATAAACCACGCCTCTTTGAAGGGTCTAAAAATAGTCTTAAAATAAACCATGCCTATTTGAAGGGTCTAAAAATAGTCTTAAAATAAACCACGCATCTTTCAAGGGTCTAAAAATAGTCTTAAAATAAACCACGCCTCTTTGAAGGGTCTAAAAATATTCATAAAATAAACCACGCCTCTTTGAAGGTCTAAAAATATTCATAAAATAAACCACGCCTCTTTGAAGGTCTAAAAATAGTCTTTAAATAAACCACGCCTCTTTGAAGGTCTAAAAATAGTCTTTAAATAAACCACGCCTCTTTGAAGGTCTAAAAATAGTCTTTAAATAAACCACGCCTCTTTGAAGGGTCTAAAAATAGTCTTTAAATAAACCACGCCTCTTTGAAGGTCTAAAAATAGTCTTTAAATAAACCACGCCTCTTTGAAGGTCTAAAAATAGTCTTTAAATAAACCACGCCTCTTTGAAGGTCTAAAAATAGTCTTTAAATAAACCACGCCTCTTTGAAGGTCTAAAAATAGTCTTTAAATAAACCACGCCTCTTTGAAGGTCTAAAAATAGTCTTTGAAGGTCTAAAAATAAAATAAACCACGCCTCTTTGAAGGTCTAAAAATAGTCTTTAAATAAACCACGCCTCTTTGAAGGTCTAAAAATAGTCTTTAAATAAACCACGCCTCTTTGAAGGTCTAAAAATAGTCTTTAAATAAACCACGCCTATTTGAAGGGTCTAAAAATAGTCTTAAAATAAACCACGCATCTTTCAAGGGTCTAAAAATAGTCTTAAAATAAACCACGCCTATTTGAAGGGTCTAAAAATAGTCTTAAAATAAACCACGCCTCTTTGAAGGGTCTAAAAATATTCTTAAAATAAACCACGCCTCTTTGATGGGTCTAAAAATAGTCTTAAAATAAACCACGCCTCTTTGAAGGGTCTAAAAATAGTATTAAAATAAACCACGCCTCTTTGAAGGGTCTAAAAATATTCTTAAAATAAACCACGCCTCTTTGAAGGGTCTAAAAATATTCTTAAAATAAACCACGCCTCTTTGAAGGGTCTAAAAATATTCTTAAAATAAACCACGCCTCTTTGAAGGGTCTAAAAATATTCTTAAAATAAACCACGCCTCTTTGAAGGGTCTAAAAATATTCTTTAAATAAACCACGCCTCTTTAAAGGGTCTAAAAATAGTCTTAAAATAAACCACGCCTCTTTGAAGGGTCTAAAAATAGTCTTAAAATAAACCACGCCTCTTTGAAGGGTCTAAAAAATAGTCTTTAAATAAACCACGCCTCTTTGAAAGGTCTAAAAATATTCTTAAAATAAACCACGCCTCTTTGAAGGGTCTAAAAATATTCTTAAACCACGCCTCCAATTGCCTCTAAAAATATTCTAAGATAATCCACGTCTCTCCCAAGTCGTCTAAAAAATAAATAACGGCGATTTTAGTTCATTAAGAAATATTTTTAGAATAAATCAATTCGCTATCGATTCTCCTAAAACATTCCATAAAACCGGGACCTAATACAATATTTGTCCCTATCTTTCTCTCCTACAGGTCCTCAAAAATCTCAGCCACCAATGGGATACACGCAGCATTAAGGCCATCACCCAAAAACAACGTTCCCTACAATGCCTGGACTCCTTCTCCATGTATACCATAGTTTCAAAAAATCCCTCGGAAATCATACAAGAATCTATGGAAATACATCAGCTAATTTGTGAAGCAGCATCGACAGCCAATAAATATTTTACCTATCAACTACTGACCATTATTTCAATTGCATTCCTGATCATTGTTTTTGATGCCTATTATGTCCTTGAAACACTCCTGGGTAAATCGAAACGAGAGAGTAAATTTAAAACTGTGGAATTTGTCACCTTCTTCTCCTGTCAAATGATTTTGTATTTGATTGCAATCATTTCCATTGTCGAGGGCAGTAATCGGGCAATTAAGAAGGTGAGTTGGCGAATCATCAAATTTTTCTAGAAAAAATTAAAAAATTTACATTTTCTATTTCGTTGCAGAGCGAAAAGACGGGCGGTATTGTCCATGCTCTATTGAATAAAGCCAAAACCCCTGAAGTCAAGGAGAAGCTACAACAATTCTCAATGCAACTGTTGCATTTGAAAATAAGTTTTACCGCTGCTGGCCTATTTAACATCGATCGAACGCTATATTTTACGGTAAGAATGATAATTGTCTCCTTAAAGGACAATTTTCTTATTGGAATTTTTTCGTATTCAATTTCTGTAGATAAGCGGTGCCCTAACCACATATCTCATCATTTTGCTGCAATTCACTTCAAGTGGCCCTCAGAGTCTCTGCGATAATGGAAATTCGACGGCTATTGCAAATTTAACGCAACATTAGTGTGCAACATCTATTTTATTTATATTATTAATTTCTATATTTCTATTTTTTATTTTGTTAAATGTGATTTAAGCTATTATCATTAAAATTAAAGAATAAAAAATACATATTTTGAAAAATAAATTATATTTTATCTATCTTGTTGTATTTTTTGAAAATATTTGGTTTAGGAGAAAAAAATCTTGAATAAAATTCAGGTCAACCCATAATATCTTCTACAAACATAGCGCATTAACACCTCTATACGTATACGTAATATTTTTTATAATTGTTCTCAATACTTATACCACCCGGTGGAGAAATATTCAAATGAATTTAATGAGAAAACAAAACACCAAATGACAGATACTTAGATTTTATAATTTGATATGCTTCTTCAACATACCGAAAATAGGAAATACACTGAGACTGTTTCAATACATGGACATCTATCTAATTTTCTGCATAAATGATGATAAACTAGGGATCTGATCTAGATTACGCGGATACTATCCGCGGAGTGATAGCACGTATGTTTCTTATTTGCTGTGCATTTACACACTAATTTATTTGAATAAAAAGTAATCCTTAAGAACTAAGTTGTACAGTATGACTTAACCTATCTTAGACTTATGTGTAAGAGAGAGAGAGAGTGCATCTGCCATAACCCATGGAGTGGACACACACAATTCTTTATCTCACATGTGGCAAGCACGCTACACCTGCTTATCTGTCTGTAGTGAAGATTACTCCCCGTAATCTCACCCAAACATACCACATGTGGCAATAGAAAACTCCTATCTTATTAGAGTGTACAAATAATGTTCTCTCTTTTACACAAGAGACCCCCAGCAAGACGTTCACTATCTTTATTATTTAAAAACCATGTTCGGTACGTGAACAAATGATGTTCGTCCTTGTAGAACCCGGAATGCAAAATTACAGCCACTTCGGTTCGAAAATGTGAATAAAGCAGCCTTATAAAACATAAAGTGGGGTGGAAATGTATGAAAAAGTGAACCAATACAATACACACAATGAACCTTACGATGATCCCTACACGTTGGTAGCCAACACCTTGATACGGGAAAATGTGCCTCATCGAAATATTGGTTTTAGACCCCATGTTTCTGTGGATCAAACCGACTATCAGGGAATACGGGACTGGGACTTTTTATTGAAGAAGCGATGACTTAAGGGAACCCCCCCCCCATTCTCGATTTTAATTTTTCAAGATTTTCAATGGGCTGGTAAATACAAATGCTTGTTAAGGTTTGTAACTTTGCACATATATAATTGAAAAAAAAATTTTTGTTATTGTTTTCTTGTTGTTTTTTGTAATTAAAGAAAAGTCCTTATTTTTGATGGCGGGCAATTCCAACGGTGTTAGAAAGAGTACATGTCTGGCTCTCGTATGAACTAGGATTATTGACTTCGCTCTAAAATTAACAAAATGGTGGACCTTGCACAATTTAGAACCGATTGGAATATTAGTTTTTGAGTTATCGTGCCCGCCATTCGCAAAAAAAATGTTTCGAGAAAAACGCGTTTAAAGTTTGAGAAGCCCTTCAGCCGTCACTTGGTGGACACAATAAATCTTCAAGAGTTCTTGAGATTTTCACTTGAAATTTTGTAGAGACATTCTTTAATCAGTGTAGATTCGAATTATATCAACAACAAATTTTGACCCCGGGAATGGGGGGGTCCCCTTAAATTTCACTTTGCCTGCCAGATATCAGATCAGTTCTTACGGAGTGTCTAAACTGGTTAGTTTAAATCTGGTCAAAATACTACAAAAAAAAACCATGAAAGATAGTATGGGATTGAATAAAAGCATAAAAAATGCTCACAATATGGGTTTTTACGAATCATATGGGTCGGACACCTAACGAAACATTTTTTCGTAGGAAAGTTTATTTTGAAAATGAAAATGATTATATTGAACCAGCGGACGGGCGAAACCCAAATGAAGATAACACCAAGCAAGTCTTAACGTTTAATGCTTTTTGAAACTGAGAATAGGAGGGCACAGGTTACAGGTATTCTCACAGGACATCTTAGTCGGCGGGCACATTTACCCAACATAGGGTGCGCCGTATTCAAAAAGTGTAGAGCTTTTACAAGTCCTCAAGCTCAATTCATCAAAATTATGCTATTCACGAACTAAACGGTACAAGGGGGCGGGAATGGAAGTATAACAAAGACTAATCTCAAGAAGATTTCATCTAAGATTTTAACAGTCATTTCACTGACATAAGTACATGTCCTACTATGAACATGTGGTGGCGTAAACGATCCTCTTTACCTAAACGAGAGCTCCATTCGGACCACTGCAAGACGTATGGAGAAACTAACACATATATGAGAAAAACGATAATTATTCTGCTGTAGTCAATGAAGCCACCAAGCAAAAGCTTGGCATTAACAATGATCCAGGATCATATGCAGGATGTTTTGGCCCAACAACATAAGTAATAAGGAGCTGTAGAATGTAATGGACTAGGAAATCATACGAAAACAGATTAAAAGTAGAGAATGGAGGTCACATTTGAATGGAATCCCCAAGGATCACGAAATCAAGGTCAATCAAGAAACACCTGGCGACGAAGAATAACACATGAACTACCACAAAATAACCTTACATAGGCATATGCAAAAATAACGGCAATTAATCAAATAAGTAGAAATAGAGGTTAGATTTGGCTTACAAATTCGATTCTAAATTAGACCAGGACCTAGGACCTATATAAGTTTACCGATCGTCCATTATAATTTGTAAGCACAATATGGACCGCAACTCACGAACAGGTTGTGGTCATAGAAGATCCCTTTTTTTGGTAATGATCCGGGGATAAAATTGGCCAATGAAATTTTTCATGAGGAATGAATAAACATGACGGTTTATTATTTATAAAACGAATTTTACATTAAGGGATCCCCACCCATTCTCGATTTTAATTTTTCACGATTTTCAATGGGCTGGTAAATCATTACCAATGCTTGTTAAAGTTTGTAACTTTGCACATATATAATTGAAGATTTAAAAGAGAAGAAAAATAATTTACAAAAATTTTTTGTTATTGTTTTGTTGTTGTTTTTGTAATTAAAGAAAAGTCCTTATTTTTGATGGCGGGCATGATAACTCCTCACTGGAACATCGGAATCTGAAAATTCCAACGGTGTTAGAAAGAGTACATGTCTGGCTCTCGTATGAACTAGGATTATTGACTTCGCTCTAAAATTAACAAAATGGTGGACCTTTGAAAAAATATTTTTGGAAAATCGCCGATTTTTTACCAAAAACCCAGTTAAAAAACCAGTGAGCGGAGCAGTATAGTCGGACGGGGCCGACCATACGATACCCTACACAACTTCCACGGAACTCAAATTTTCTGCGGATGTTTATTCTGAGCCTGGGCAATATTTCGTGGTATTGGCATCTTCTTGCCCGATTCGAGGTAAACAGCACCTCTTCCTCACACTGACATATTTTGCGAATATTACGAGTATTCAGTACACCTATTGTCCAAATTCCCTTCACCGTGGGTTGTGTTGTGATGTTCGGCTTTCATTTGAGGTCTATAGATCGACTCGAAAATAACACAAAAAATTAAGTTTACGGTCCACTTCATTCCAAAATTATTATGTGATCATCACCGAAAATTATAGGCGTTGTCCTTGACCATAACTGGAACCTTATGGAACATTTCAAAGCGATCAGCGCTATGTTCGGCTCTCTAGAGTGATAATGGGTTACTAAATAACATACAAATACGGAGACACCTGTAAATATTTAGGTGTAACTCCCACATTAGAGCACATGCAACAATATAATTGGTCTTAATTTAAAGGTCAACCACTCCTCTTGGATATAATATCAACTTTTCGGGTCTATGTCCTTCAGGGGTAAATATATACGCTATAGAATACAAAATTTGTAATTTTTCACACAAAAGTCAGGGTCCATTTGACCCGCTAAATATTGACCAATCTTTATCAAAACAGGCATGCTTATTCTTTGGCCCGATCCCCTTTTCCATGCAGAATTTCACGATGTTCGGGCTATTATTGCGGCCTCTGGAGCGACTAGAAAAACCGACAAAAATTTAGTATTTGGTCCATTTCATCCCCTAAATATTAACCGATCTTTCCCAAAAACAATAGGGGTCTTCATTGGTCAGAACCCATCCTACATGCAAAATTTCGTGAAGATTGGTCCATAACTGTGGCCTGTATCGTGTTTACAAATTATAATGGACAGACGGACGGACGGACGGACACACATGTCTAGATCGACTCAGCTAGTCGAGATATGACGATCGGTATACTTAAACGTGGGTCTAGGACCAATATTTCGCGGCGTTTCAAAACTTTTGGGGCTGCACAAAGCTATAATACCCTGACAACATAGTTGTGTAGGGTATAAAAATTAAGTTTTCGGTCCACTTCATTCCAAAATTATTATCTGATCATCACCGAAAATTATAGGCGTTGTCCTTGACCATAACTGGAACCTCATGAAACATTTCAAAGCGATCAGCGCTATGTTCGGCTCTCTAGAGTGATAATGGGTTACTAAATAACATACAAATACGGAGACACCTGTAAATATTTAGGTGTAACTCCCACATTAGAGCACATGCAACAATATAATTGGTCTTAATTTAAAGGTCAACCACTCCTCTTGGATATAATATCAACTTTTCGGGTCTATGTCCTTCAGGGGTAAATATATACGCTATAGGATACAAATTTTGTCATTTTTCACACAAAAGTCAGGGTCCATTTGACCCGCTAAATATTGACCGATCTTTATCAAAACAGACATGCTTATTCTTTGGCCCGACCCCCTTCTCCATGCAAAATTTCACGATGTTCGGGCCATTATTGCGGACTGTGGAACGACCAGAAAAACCGACAAAAAATTAGTATTTGGTCCATTTCATCCCCTAAATATTAACCGATCTTTCCCAAAAACAATAGGGGTCTTCATTGACCTGAACCCATCCTACATGCAAAATTCCGTGAAGATTGGTCGATAACTGTGGCCTGTATCGTGTTTACAAATTATAATGGACAGACGGACGGACGGACACACAGATCTAGATCGACTCAGCTAGTCGAGATATGACGATCGGTATACTTAAAGGTGGGTCTAGGACCAATATCAATTTTGACCCCGAGAATGGGGGGTCCCCTTAATTCAAAAACATCAGGCCAAAAAAGGTGAATCTAATTATATTGTTTAGATTTATATTTTCACTACTCCAAAAAATGTTTATGATCGGTCAATATATAGCGGGTCAAGTTGACTTAAACTTTTGTGAATTGCTACAAAATTTGCATAATTTTACAGTATATCCAAGATGAGCCGTTGACCATTGAATTGATATCAATTATATTGATGTATGTAGGGTAGGCTGGAGCAGATATAAATGATATAAAAATTGTTGGGCCGGTTATTGTCGTCTGATACTTAATTATAAAAATTAGAACCAAAAATCTATAATAAATTAGTATTAGTTAAACATTTTTACAGTTTTGTAAAAAAAGTCAAATTCGCCGAATGTGCCCCTACCCGGGGTAGCTTCCAAATTTGATGGGTTATCACCGCTATCAGTCTGGTTTGAATTTCGATCCTCTAAAGGTTCTATTTTATTTGAATACGCCACTCAATGTTTGACTTTTAAGGCTATATTTTCTAGCGGCGGACGTTGACTTCTCAAGGCCTCATACACCATCAGAAATAGCTTTTTTCTATCGCATTTCGACAGTACAACCACGTGTGGTCTTATAAATGTAATTTCGAACTTATATTGAACTATATGTATATGGCGAATGTGCCCCACTTCAAAATGCCGAATCTACCCCAAAGGTACTTGTAAATTTGTTTCTGCCTATCTTCAAAAAACATTATATTTTTAATTATTTTTATAAGAATGCACATTATAATTAACTACTTTTTAATAATACAGCCTTAAAATATGAGTAGTTTTATACGAAATACCTATGAAATGGAATGGAAATATTACAAAAACATCTTTAAAAATTAAAAAAAAGTGCATCTAAATGTGTTTATTAGCTAGAGATTTCAAGGTGCCCCTGTCTCCCCTACTCGAATAGGGGAGTTATGCGTTATTATTTATTCTCATATGGTTTTGTGTTACCATTACCACACTAGGCGACAGAAATGTCGCGCTGATCGCATTGAAATATTACATGATGTTCCGGTTATTGTGAAAGACGACGCATATAATTTTCGATGATGATCAGATGATATTTATGGGATGAAATGGACCGAAAACTTTACTTTGGTGTATTTTTGAAGTTACTCTATAGGCCACAATTATAAGCCAAACATAACATCACATCTCACGAGGAAGGGAGTCTGTCCAACCAATTAGAATGATCCGTCAATAATGCAAGTGTCAAACGCACCAAGACTTTTGTGTTAAATTACAAAATTTGCATTTCATGGCGTAAAAGTTCAACCCGTAACAATAAATGTAGTAAAAAATATACAGTAAACCCCGCTTAAATGCCTCAGTGAAATTTTCAAGATTTTTTGAATAATTATCCGTGGAAGCGAGCATGGTTAATTAAGGGCGAGCACGGTTACCCAGCAAGGGTAAATATCGGTGGACACCGGTGTTTTGTTCTTTTCTTTCTTTTTTGCTTGAGATACATATAAACTGGATCTATAGTTTGATAAACAAAGATGTATTTATGGGAGACATTTCACGAAAACTTTCATTGTGCACATGTGTGGCAAGTGCACTAGCAAATGTAAGCCATTTTAAGTGAAGTTGCCAGATTTAAAAAAATACATTGGGTAATTACATAGATTTAAACGTACGGTTACTTTGGGGTAGGTTTTTTAGGGGCAAATAAATGAAATGAGTAATAAAATATGCCAGGGTAAGAAACAGGTTGACCTCTAATCGGCCATGATGGTGCAAATATCCCAGGCTTGGAATTTAGATTGGGAGAAAGTTAGAATTCCGTGGTAGTTGTGTGGGGTATCTTATGTTTATCGCTGGATTTAAATACGAATTACAACAAAGTAAAAAAACCTCTGCACTAAAGACCATTTCCCTATTAAATTGTTTAAATTGTAGTATACGTATAGGTATACGAATACTTAAACTTTTGTTTTAGCATTTATATTACGTATACGGCCGATGTTGCGCTATGCGTGAGATAACAGAGTTAAACACAGCATTTCATTCAATATGACCATAAAAGATAATGTACTTCAACATTCAATTTAACTGTAAAATGTGTCAGTACGCTATCATTTCATTTCTCATATCAATTAGACACATGCCATGTATATCTGAGTTGATTATTCCCTCATAGTGCTATTGATCGGCTACCGAACATTTGTCACAGGATTAATTGTTGATTCTTTTCAACATGGTTTTTTAATCCACTACAGACTTTTTATTTTCTTAATTCCCTTTTCTTTTACATTGTAGAAATTGTAAACATATATTAAATTTATCCTCTACATTTAAACAAATGGAATTTAACACTTTAATAACGGTTACATTTTATGCGAAATTTTACTATAAAATTGTTCTCACTTTCTCCTCCCATGTCATTATACCTTTTTTAAAGTGCTTGGGTCATACCAACCGTTCGTTCGCTTGTCTGTCAATATATTTGTCTGATAGCGTAATTTAATAAACAATGCATTTTTATGGAGCATTCATTCTTCTTCGTCTTTGACGAAGTATTTTTTTCAGTTAAACGGTAACATAATACAATAGAAATATTTACCACACGGATGTCATGCCGATACACATTCCTTTACACACACACACCTACATACAGTTGTATGTGTAGAACAAAAATTATGATTGTTTTTGCGTCTTCCTAGAAATTTAATTTGTTATGTGGAGTGGTTCATGGAGGTAATTAACCGGCAGGTTATAAGTAGTTGTTGATATTTTGCTATCAGTCATCAGCAACAGCAAGGGTTGAAAATATAGCAATAGGGTAAACATTTAAAATGTTATAAAAGAGGCGATTCAAATTACCCAATTAAACACAAAATAATTTAATTTTAAATACCAAGAAGAAAGAGGATTTTTTAAAGACTAAAAAGAGAAAATAGATTTTAAGGACTACCACTAGGCATGGATTTTTTTAAATATTTTTTATGGACTTTTTACATTTTTACATTTTTACAAAGATTACCACAAGGCGTGGATTTGTTAAACATATTTTTTCAAGGACTACCACAAGGCGTGGATTTGTTAAACATATTTTTTCAAGGACTACCACAAGGCGTGGATTTTTTAAACATATTTTTTCAAGGACTATCACAAGGCGTGGATTTTTAAACATATTTTTTAAGGACTATCACAAGTCGTGGATTTTTTTAAACAGATTTTTTTAACATATTTTTCAAGGACTATTACAAGGCGTGGATTTTTTAATATATTTTTTCAAGGACTATCACAAGGCGTGGATTTTTTAATATATTTTTTCAAGGACTATCACAAGGCGTGGATTTTTTAATATATTTTTTCAAGGACTATTACAAGGCGTGGATTTTTTAATATATTTTTTCAAGGACTATCACAAGGCGTGGATTTTTTAATATATTTTTTCAAGGACTATCACAAGGCGTGGATTTTTTAATATATTTTTTCAAGGACTATCACAAGGCGTGGATTTTTTAATATATTTTTTCAAGGACTATCACAAGGCGTGGATTTTTTAATATATTTTTTCAAGGACTATCACAAGGCGTGGATTTTTAATATATTTTTTAAACATATTTTTTCAAGGACTACCAAAAGGCGTGGATTTTTTAAACAAAATTTTTTATGGACTACTACAAGGGTGGATTTTTAAACATATTTTTCAAGGACTACAACAAGGCATGGGTTTTTTAAACTTATTTTTTTAAGGACTACCACAAGGCGTGGATTTTTTTAATATTTTTAGAGGACTACACTAGACTTGGATTTTTTTTATATTTTTAAGTGGGCTATCAAAAGACGTGAATTAAGTGGAAGTGTGCTACAATTTCACTCACATCTGCCCAAAAATATCAATAATTGATTTTCGATTATTGTCTTACAAATTATGGACGTCCTTTAAGAAAAAACTGAAATGAAATTCAATTCCAAAATAGTTTCACAAAATTGCTGCTCATTTCTCTGTATGTCAATTAAATAATTGATGTAAATACTTTGTTTTAACATTTGACTTGTACTTCAACAACCAACAAACATCAATTTGGACCCCTACACAAGTGTCAAGTTTTGTAGATAAAAGAAAAAGAAAACAATAAGTAAATAAATTGCAAGAACATTGTTGTAGTAAATTGCGGATATTAATAAATAGGAAATTTGGAATGTCAGTCCTTCGCTGGCGTTCATTCACTGTTACGCAGAATAAGGGTGTGATGTTTGATGAAGAACCCAACACCTAACTCTGTGCAAAATGGAATTACCACCCAATCCGCACAGGCGACATTTGTGGGCTCATCAGCATTTGCCTTGAACATCATCATCATTACATTGATGAGTGACACTGACATAGTGAACCATGCCGGGTCTTTGAAAGGATATCAACAATTAGTTAACAACAAGTGGCCATTGGCAGCGGACGTGTCGTCTAGTGTTTCCGTTTAATTGCAACTAAATTTAATTTCTGAAAAAAACCAAAATGGGTATTAAAATCTGGGAACGTTTAACCCAAGCCGATAATATATTTCAGTCACTAAGGCCCCTAACATATATCTCAATAATCGGTTTGGCTCCATTCCACCTCAAGTCGCAAAATGAAGTTCGAACCTCCGCATTATCCTATGTGGCCGGTATCAGTCATTTCCTATTCTTCAGCCTATGTTTCCTTATGTCGCGTTGTGAAAATGGTTCGATAATCGGATATTTCTTTCAAACAAACATCACCAAATTGGGTGATTTCACGCTCTCGTGCACCGGTGTCATTGCCATGTTGACCATATTCGGTTTTGCAATTTTTAAACGCGATCGCTTGATTGCAATTCTTCAAAATAATTTGGTGGTCGATGAGATCTTTGTTCGGCTCGGTATAAAATTGAATTATCGTACGATTTTTTGGTATTCCTTTTTAATGTCCTTTGCCATGTTGCTGTTCAATTTTATTTATTTGTGTGTGAGTTATATGCTGCTCAGATCGGCAGAGATAACACCATCCTTTGTGGTCTTTACGACGTTCGCATTGCCGCACATCAACATCAGCATTATGGTATTTAAATTTATGTGTACCACTCACTTGGCCAAGAGTCGTTTTCATATGTTAAATGAGGTAAGCATTCGACAAAACATATGTACCAGTTAGGAGTTATTGAAAAAGATGTTTAAAAAATCGACGCCTTGTGTTAGTCCTTTGAAAAAGATGTTTAAAAAATCCAAGCCTTGTGTTAGTCCTTTGAAAAAGATGTTTAAAAAATCCAAGCCTTGTGTTAGTCCTTTGAAAAAGATGTTTAAAAAATCCACGCCTTGTGTTAGTCCTTTGAAAATGATGTTTAAAAAATCCACGCCTTGTGTTAGTCCTTTGAAAATGATGTTTAAAAAATCCTCGCCTTGTGTTAGTCCTTTGAAAAAGATGTTTAAAAAATCCACGCCTTGTGTTAGTCCTTTGAAAAAGATGTTTAAAAAATCCACGCCTTGTGTTAGTCCTTTGAAAAAGATGTTTAAAAAATCCACGCCTTGTGTTAGTCCTTTGAAAAAGATGTTTAAAAAATCCACGCCTTGTGTTAGTCCTTTGAAAAAGATGTTTAAAAAATCCACGCCTTGTGTTAGTCCTTTGAAAATGATGTTTAAAAAATCCACGCCTTGTGTTAGTCCTTTGAAAATGATGTTTAAAAAATCCTCGCCTTGTGTTAGTCCTTTGAAAAAGATGTTTAAAAAATCCACGCCTTGTGTTAGTCCTTTGAAAAAGATGTTTAAAAAATCCACGCCTTGTGTTAGTCCTTTGAAAAAGATGTTTAAAAAATCCACGCCTTGTGTTAGTCCTTTGAAAAAGATGTTTAAAAAATCCACGCCTTGTGTTAGTCCTTTGAAAAAGATGTTTAAAAAATCCACGCCTTGTGTTAGTCCTTTGAAAAAGATGTTTAAAAAATCCACGCCCTGTGTTAGTCCTTTGAAAAAGATGTTTAAAAAATCCACGCCTTGTGTTAGTCCTTTGAAAAAGATGTTTAAAAAATCCACGCCTTGTGTTAGTCCTTTGAAAATGATGTTTAAAAAATTCACGCCTTGTGTTAGTCCTTTGAAAAAGATGTTTAAAAAATTCAAGCCTTGTGTTAGTCCTTTGAAAAAGATGTTTAAAAAATCCACGCCTTGTGTTATTCCTTTGAAAAAGATGTTTAAAAAATCCACGCCTTGTGTTAGTATTTTGAAAAAGATGTTTAAAAAATCCACGCCTTCTGTTAGTCCTTTGAAAAAGATGTTTAAAAAATCCACGCCTTGTGTTAGTCCTTTGAAAAAGATGTTTAAAAAATCCACGCCTTGTGTTAGTCCTTTGAAAAAGATGTTTAAAAAATCCACGCCTTGTGTTAGTCCTTTGAAAAAGATGTTTAAAAAATCCACGCCTTGTGTTAGTCCTTTGAAAAAGATGTTTAAAAAATTCACGCCTTGTGCTAGTCCTTTGAAAAAGATGTTTAAATAATCCACGCCTTGTGTTAGTCCTTTGAAAAAGATGTTTAAAAATCCAAGCCTTGTGTTAGTCCTTTGAAAAATATGTTTAAAAATCCACGCCTTGTGTTAGTCCTTTGAAAAATATGTTTAAAAATCCACGCCTTGTGTTAGTCCTTTGAAAAATATTTTTGAAAAAATCCACGCCTTGTTGAAGTCCTTGGAAAAATATTTTTGAAAAATCCACGCCTTGTTGAAGTCCTAGGAAAAATATTTTTGAAAAAATCCACGCCTTTAAAAAAATCCACTACTTCTTGAAGTCCTTGAAAAATATTTTTAAGGAATATACATTTCCGCTTTCTAAATTGTTTTCCAATATAAGCTATAATTCGCCGGCTCAAGTAAAATATAATTTGAAGCAAATTCAATGGTAATCGAAATTCGCCTAAAAGTATGCTTTAAAAATATAAATATAATTACAGAGCTGGATGGAGGAATAAAATACTTGCTATACAAACCACTTATTTCGGAATAAAAGCTGTTGGAAAAATAAAATACTTGTGGTCTTCAGTAAAAGGCCTTCTTCTGTTCTTCTATAAGAATACCTCTGGCTTCAAACTACTTAGTATTCTATAAGAGAAATGCTAGGTTTCTTATTAGAACATACAATATAGGATTTTCTTCTAAAAATTTTAACATTCATAATTGTTTTCTTTTCTAGATTCTCCAAGACATTCTAGATTCTCACATAGAAGATAGCCATGCTGTGGAATTATCTCCCCTGCATTCAGTGGTGCGTATTAATCGCAGCGCACCAAGACGTCGTCCGGCCACAATCTCAATTGCAACCAGTCAACAACAACGTTATAGTGTCGCCTCAATTATACGACAAAATCCCGAATTGGCTATACGACAGGTTACCAACATTCACAATCTCTTGTGTGATATCTGCAACACAATTGAAGAATATTTTACCTATCCCCTGCTGGCCATTATAGCAATTTCATTTTTATTTATACTATTCGATGATTATTATCTGCTGGAGGTTAAATTAAATCCAAATTGTGTGGAGGTATTTGAGGCAGATGAATTCTTCGCCTTTTTCATAACACAAATGTTCTGGTATGTCATCATTATTGTGTTGATAGTGGAGGGTAGCAGTCGCACGATTAAGGAAAGTGGTAAATGTGCTGCCATTGTTCACAAGATTTTAAATATTACCGATGATGGAGATATTAGGGATCGTCTACTGCGTTTATCACTGCAGCTGCAACATAGACGGGTTAGATTTACTGCTGCGGAATTATTTAATCTGGATCGAACATTGATATTTACGGTAAGTTGAATTGGAAAATTTACAAAAAAGGTTTTGTTCGGAAACATTGTTATAGTTGGGAGAACTAGATAACATAATTGCAATTAAAACAGCTGTATGGGGCGATGAGAACAGCTGTTTGACGAATCAGCTGTTTTTGAGATTAATCAGCTGTTTAACACAATTTATTATCTTTACAAATAACCTATTTAAAACACACGAGTACTCCCTCAAAAGTGCTTCCATTAAATGGACCGAAGAACCCACAGATTTTTATATGTTATAAATTTTTCTAGTGCATGAAAAGTTTCATAAAATGTTTTCTTATTATTTTTCAGATGACTGGAGCTGCCACCTGCTATTTGATTATATTGGTGCAGTTCAGCACCACTCATCATTCGAATCCGAATCAATTTAATGGTACAAATTGTGTTTCCTAAATGTGTTATTTGTTGTTAAAGTGTGCCAAAAAATACTAATAATACAAATTTTAAACTTATTATATGTTGTTGTATGTAGAAGGGATTTAAAATAAAATAAACTATGTGCCTTCCACAAATCACTCGGGTTCAAATATATATAACTTTTTTTTTAATTAAATGAAGGGAATATTTAAAAAAAACCTGGTCGGGAAAACCTTGTTTGGGAAGAATATAGCACAAAAATTCCATTGTTAACTAGAGATGATGACATCTGCAGTAAAAAATAATCAGTTCACCGACCTCCGAAGGGAAATCCTGTGTACGTTCCTGATAATCCACTGAAATGTATTGCACTAGCTGAGCAGAGTAATAACTTTATAAATGAAAATAAGCCCAAACAAATAAGGGAGAGTGCCACAGTTCTAGGGACATATCCATATCAGCAGGGTTGAAAATACTTGAGCTACTATTGAAATTGTATATAGGAAATCTACTATTACTGCTCCGGAAGCAGCATAGCAAAACGAAAGCTTTGATAACCTTTGCGCAAGGTTGAACAAACATATCACGTATATAGCTGAGTTTTCCAATGGAGGGGCTATCTCTGAATACGCTAGTCGATGGGTACACAATTCCGACCAATTACCCCATGGTTCTAGGGGTCACACTTGAAACAAGGTTATTGCAACCAAATGGAAATGCATTCAATCCTGCCAGAAAGCTGAGTCGATCTAGACAAGTGTGTCCATCCGTCTGTCAATTATAAATTGTAAACACGATACAGGCTACAGTTATTGATCAATCGTCACGAAATTTTGCATGTAGGACCGGTTCTCGGCAATGAAGATCCCTATTGTTTTTGGGAAAGATCGGTTATTATTTAGAGGAGGAAATGAACCAAATACTTAATGTATGCCGGTTTTTCTGGTCGCTACAGAGACCGCAATTATGGCCCGAAAATCACAAAATCACCAAATACTTAGAACGGCTGTTTAGATGATAATCGATCACTATTACGTAGATCAAATCAACCAAAATCTAAAGTGACCAAATTTGTATTTTATGGCGTAAGTATTCACCTCTGGAAGACAAGATTTGGAAAATATGCCAGGTTTAGAAAGTGGAGCTGTTGACCTATTATCGGACAAGTGGGTGCAAATATTTCCCAGGCTCTGTAGAACCGCAGACTACACTACTCCTACTCCTGAAAGAAATATAGAGCCGAAAAGTTGATAGTATATCCAGGAGGAGTTGTTGGCCTTTAAATCGATACCAATTATATTGTTGTGTGTACTCGGATGTGGGAGATACACTCACATATTTACAGGTACTTTCGTACTAAGATATTATTTAGTAACCCATTACCACACTAGAGGGCGGAAATATAGCTCTGATCGTTTTGAAATTTTCCATGAGATTCCATTTGTGGTCAAGGAAAACGCCTATAATTTTGGGTGATGATCAGATAATAATTTTATGATGAAATGGACCGAAAACTTAATTTTGTTGTGTTTTTTTTTCGAGTCGATCTATAGGCCACAATTATAAGCCGACTTGATATTAGTAATATTCGGAATATATGTCAGTGTAAGGAAGTGAAGCTGTTGACCTCGTACGGAAGAAGGGTCAAAATATCACGAAGAGAGTACCGCCCAGGCTAGCTACAAGAGACATCCGCAGAAGGATAGATCCGCTAAAGTTGGTTATCCAATGGTCGGTCC